AGGTTTGTTTCTTGAATTGTGATAATATCTAAATTATATGATTTTAAAAGAATTAAGGTTTTTTGAGCTTTGGCCCTGTTGTTTAGGCCTTTTACATTAAGAGTTGCGATTGTGATTTTCTTTATGATGAAATACAATTGTTTTTGGGGTGTTATTATTGAGGGTATTATGATCTAGTGAGAAGAGGAGCCAGGTCCAGTAGTTGCTACCTCCGTCATTATAGTATCATTTTCCTGTATTTCTTTCTTATTTTTCCTTTTCCTGTTCTTCTGTGTGTCATTTGTTACAGGTTCACTTTCTGGTTCCAAAGATTCTGAGTTAGAAGATAAGATGTTTGTTTTTTGATTCAGATCTGAGGAATTATCTTTTGCTTTTTCAGCAGGGCAATTTTGTTTTGAAAGGTTTTCTTCTTCAGCAACTATTTCCATTGCAGAAGTAGCATCTTTCTCTTTTGGAATTGTAGGTTGTGAGTTAGGTTCAGCTTGAACTTGAGTGTAAGGGTTGTTAGGACTAAGTTCTGGCTGGGTTTCATAACTGGTTTGATTCCTTTCTTTTTGTAGTCTTAATTCTTTGTAGTATGACCAGATTGCAATTGCGTTTTTTAGCTCTTCACATTCTTTTTTTACATGATCTTCTTTTTCACAATAGTAGCATATTTTTGGAGCTTCCCTCTATTCAGTGCTGACTTTGTGATCATCAATATAAGTAGTTCTTGGTAGTCTTTGTAGAAGATCTGGATCTTCAGTTGTTTCAAAGGAAACAATCCACTAGTCAGAGCAGACTGAAGTACCTTCGAAGAGTAGAGGCTTGACAGAGGAGATAGTTCCAAAATCTTGGAAGGTTTCTAAAAGAAGTTTGTTGGTCTGGTCTTTGTTTCCTAGTGGAGTATTTCTGACCTTGACTGATAAGAAGCTTCTTTTTAGGTTAATAAAAATATAACTAAAGATCGTTTGTTTGAAAATATTAATTCCTTCTGTTGCATAATGTTGCTGCTGAATTTCGTTTTTGAAGACTACTTCTAGGTAGGCTCTTTTTCCCCTGCTAAAATGTGGTTTAGCAGCTAGAAGGTCTTCGCCAAGAGAATTTGCTAAAGAGAGAATGATATCATTTGTAGATATGTTATTAAGGCTTTGGATATCAAAGACTAGTGCATTTTCATTTTTGGAGAGAATCTTATTTTTTGGAGTCTCTTGTTTGTATGTAGCCTTTTCACCTCTAAGTTTGGTAAACAGGTCTGACCAGCATTTTGGTTTGGGTTGTTCTTGGTTGTTAGCTTCTGAGTTGTGTGTAATATCTGGTAGCTTAGATTTTGGTACATTTTTATCATTTGAAATGATTAGATCGCTCACGTGACTTTTGTTTATATCATACTTCACGTGTTGTTTTGTTGTTTCTTTTACAGAAGAGGAGCTAGAACTTTCATTGCTTTCGTTTGAAGAAACTTCTGTGTAGACAGTTTGCTTAGATTTACCCTTGTCAAAGATTTCTACTTCTACTTTGTCTGCCCAGTTGTTATTATTCTTTTGTTCTAAGTTAGAGATATTTTTGTTGCTTGAAGAGCTTAGTAGGTTTTCTTTATCTTCTTCTTTTAGGTACGAAGAGAGGTCAAAAATTTTTTTGTTGTTCAAAAGCTTAGTTCTCTTGTTTTTAGAGGCACCCATAGTACTCATTGGTAGTTTTCTTTTCCTAACTTTAGGAGCTTTAGCTCTGTTAGTATCTAAAAAAGAATTTTTGTCTGTTTTTTTGTTATTT